GGTGCCCCGCAGCCCCTGCCGCAGTACTCACTTCAGCGCAGGGAGGATCTCCGAGTTCTGGCCGGGTTCCTGCTTCCCGAATTGGTTGGAGGGGAAGCCCAGGACAACGAGCCCATAGGGCCCCAGCTCATTTTGTAGTGCATTCAGTTCTGCATGCAAGCAGAGCCAGGGGTGGGTTAGGAGGGGACCGGGCTTACCCCCACACCGGCACCAACCCCCTTGGAGCATCCCCGGCCATGCCGGGTCCTGGGGAGCAGGCGTTACCCCTTCCCCCAGCTCCCTGGGGCAGGACAGACCATGGGGACCTGCCAAGGGCTGCACGCTTGGGTTGACGCCGCCTGCTCCTCGGCTGCCTGCCCTGTCCCCTGGGGTGCCTGTGCCCTGCGGGACCCTTACCAAGGTACTGCAGGGTGAGGCCTCAGTACGTGGCCACGTTGACGAAGAGTACCATCTTCCCCGCGTACTTCCTAAAGGGGATGTACTCGTCCCCGTCGATGGTCAGGGCCCCATAGTCGTAGATGGTGCCCTGCACCGAGCCGTAGCATTTCACCTGTGGGGCGAGGAGCATCCAGTGGGACCAGGCTGGGGGCTGCCGGCCACCCCGCTTGCCCACCCAGCAGCCACCCACACCCACCAGAGCAGCGGGTTCAGCCCTGGCACTGGCTGAGACAGCAGCTGCCAGTGTTGTGTCTCCTGCCCCAAATGGCACTGGCGGCAGCCAGGCTCCGACACGCCAAGGTCAGGGTGGCGGGACAGGCTGGCGTGTGCATGCACATGCACACATGTGTGCACAGATGTGCACGCCCGGCCAGCGGGGCTGGCTGCAGCTGGAGGCCAGGGTCAAGCAGGAAGGCAAGGGGCTGGAAAACAGCCTGAGCTGGCGTGGAGAGCCCGGCCCCAGCCTCCCCGGGGCTGCGGGTGGGCAGGACCCCACCACCCCTGCACGCACCCTTCTGGGGAAGGGGCAGCCAGAGCACCCTGGAGCAGCACTGGCTGCTGTGCCGTGGCCAAGCCAGGCCCAGGCAAAGGAGGGATCAGGGCTGGATCAGACCCGTGCAGGGAAGTGCCGGGGTGGAGCAGCCTCTGCCTGCGGTGCTGCAGGGGTTAACCCAGGGGAGTCCATCTCCTGTTCCCATCAGGTGACCCAGGCTCACCCAAGTGCCACCGAGGGGTCTATTTTGGGAGCTGGCAGGAGATAAAGTCCCAGGGGCTCTGCCCGGGGAGCTCAGCCTCCATGGGGCCGGCCGGATCCTGGCGGCAGGGCTCTGCCTCGCCCGCCCGGGGTGGGGAGGCTGGCCGGGGGTGATTTTCACCCCTGCTCTCTGCCCGCCGGGGCGTGGGGGCACAGCGGCCCTCGCACCCTCCAAACATGGGTGCGCCCTCCTGGACACAGTGCATGGAACAAAAGCCCTGTGCTCTGCCCCTATGGGGGGGGTCACTGGGCGGGACGACGAGGCTCTGTCCCCAACCCCAGGATCAACGATACTCCTTCGCAATACCGGCTCAGAAAAATCCCCCCATGATCCAAGCATCGGGACAGGGAGGGGAGAGGGTCACCGTGCCCCACTCCT